GAGTAATTAAAAGGTACATGTTGCAAAAACAAACTTATCCAAAAAGAAACCACTCCTGACAGTTAGTATTTTTAAAAAAATGAGCAGTTTCAAACATATTTAAAATAACGATTATAATGCAAGAAGTATTATGTTTGTTAAATACACAGAAACAAATACATATTATATTTACTATGGTAATCACAGACATGCAGAAGCTTTGCAATCTACTTTTTTGGTTGTACATTATAATTCAACATGTCACAGTAATAACCAAAAGATCATGTTTAATTTTTGAATGGTCAAAATTTATCACTTAGCTTAACTTTCTCATTACAGGCTCAGTCAATTCAGCCAAGCTTGTGACACCAAGTTGACTTTTAGTTTCCACACTATAACTTCTCATTAGTTTTGTGTATCTTCATAAAATTTTGCAAGCTTTCAGTAAACATTTAAAGACAAAAAAATCAGAATTTTTAATGCAGTATTTTGCTTAGTTTTCCTCTGTAAATATATGGAGTCAAAGTGTTAACTGCTCCAAAGTGATTTTCATGCTAAGATTAAAAGTACTTTTCTTCGTTTTAAAATTGTCAGATTTCATTTTTGTAATCTTCAAAACCTCCTAAATAAATTTCCAACATATGTTTTTAAATAAAACTTTACATTTTACCTGTTATTTTCTCTAGCCTAACTCTATACAGGGTTGGTTAAATTGACCAACTTCGTAACCACCATATAAAAAATAAGAAATACATCTAAATTTCCTTTTATTCTTTCTAGAATGACTTCAAAGTGTAACAGAAAACTAGATTTGTTTATCCTAAATAATTTAAAACTTGTAACAACATACATCTGATCCTACTTAAATTTTATTTTATTGCCCTTTGAACCATGTCTAACTAATAATCCCTCCACACAAGTTGTAAATCACTTGGAGAACATGTAGCTCATATTATCCTATTGAATCACAGAACTCACGGGCTTCTCAAAGGCATATACCATGAAATATTTTTGTTATTATCAATATTTTTCTTTATTTTACCTAATCTAACTTAACCTAATAAGCTACTAATTTTTACATTTTAGTTACTTTTATAATAATAAATAAAGAATACACATGAAAAATAAGAAATATAATACTTAACTAGATCTTCTTTTTTTGTTGCTGTTGACTGCCATTGAAACTTAACCCTACTTTTCTTATTTAATTAAGTCTTTCAGCACAGGCTTTGTCCCTGGGACAGACCTTGTGACCATTTTGTGTTTGTTTTAGTTTACATGCTATAACTTTTAAACTAGTAAGCAAATGTTAACACAATTTGGCAGATTATCAGTAAACACTACAATGCTTTCACACACAAAATATCAAATTTTTTTATTTAGTCTTAAGGTTTGTAAAGCAATGTTTTCTCGTGTATTTTTTTATTTTCGCATGTTGTCTAATTATCATACAAAGTAATATTCATTTTAAAATTAAAAATACTTTTATCCATCAGAAAATTTTGAAATTTCACATGCAAAATCTTTATAATGTTCAGATAATTATCAAATATTTCTAAAGAAAAAACTTTATATTTTATCTGTTATTTTCAGTAATTAATCTCTGTACGGGTTCGGTAAATTTGACCGATCTCACAACCACCATAAAAAATTAGGAAAGAGATATAAATTATGCCTCTTTCATTCTAGAATGAACAGAAATTATAACACTAAAACATAAATATTTAGACTAAATAGCTTAAATCTCATAACATTATACATTTATATATATATTCATTATTTTATTATATTGACCTTTCAGCCATGCCTGGCTAACAATACAGAAGTTACAATAATGCAGCTCACATGCACTCATGTTACAATATCAAATAACATAAAATTTTACTTTGGTCTGTACAAAGTAACTTGTCTTGGTTGTGTTTTAGTAGACTAGTATTTTGTAAAATACAGTCACATTTGAATTATTATACATTATATATGTATACAGATTATTGCTATTTTTTGAAATAAGTTTTTAAACTTATTTTTCTTATAACATAGAACAGTAAATAAAGAAGTAAAGCAAACAATTATCTTTTCTAGTTATGACCTTTGTACTTGGTTGATGTTTGACGTAGGTTGCTAAGCCTTTAAAAAAATATGCATGTGGAGGATATGAAACAAAATAATTTTTTTTAGGTTTTATATATATACATTTGAATAACTAAAAAAATCATAAATTACTACATTAATACCATAAAATTCCACTACAATTTATCAAACTTAGTATCTAAGATATATTTTGGTTTAAAAAATATGAAATTTCGAGCAGACTAAAGACACACCCCACCTCGTTGAAATATTGGTTCAAAAGAAAGAAATGGCACCAAGCCCATTAAAAGGACTGAGAAAGCCACAAGGCAGACATTATGAGTTTCCAATTGGTTATTCATGTCATATATATAAAGTAAGTGTATATAAGGAAGCATATCCAAAAATTGAAAGAGGTGTTTGATTTATTACATGAGCAATATTTTAGCATACTGAAAAGATAAGAGGCTCTTATTTCATATTCTAGCTTGTCAATATCGGTAATTTGAGTTTCTAATTCGTACAAAACTATAGACTTAGTATTTTGACTTCACAAACATCTAAGATGAACCAGTGCTAATTCAACGTACCACGTAACACACAAAAATCGATGTTCATCTGTTTTTTTTTATATTTGCTGTTAAATTAAGAAACTGAGTAATATATAGTACTAAAATTTGAATTATAATCTACAGTTTAATACCAAACTTAATGAC